TAAAATAAACACTTTTTTTTTAAAGCACCTTACACACATCATGCAGCCATTTTGTGGGAGTGAGTGTTCATGCTGTTCCACTAGGGTCAATTTTTTCTTTGAAATGGTGCCCCTGCTTCCCCGCTTTCCACGCAGTCCTTTATAAACAGTGCACAAACTAAACTGGACCCACATCATCTGCTGTTTTTCCACTGGGAAAAGGTAGAACTGAGCCAGTCAGCAAAAGGTTTTTGGAGGTGTGAGATCAGTTCCTTCCCATGCCATTGTGTAAGCTTTTTATACCTTCTGCATGCAGCCGCTAGGTACTTTGGCCCCACAGGTCAAACAACTGACCAAAAATCTGGCAAACAGCTGACAGTCAGAGCAGCTCCTACACAGCGTGTTCTCTTAGAGGGCACGCTTCTAAGTCAGGCCCTTTTGAGTGCTTGCCCCAATTTGTAGGTTTTGGATAGGTCCCTTGGGTCACTGATTTTCCACTTCAGTTTGTTGGTCTGACCCACAAACTGCAGGTCACTGGGGAGGTGTGAGCCAACCTTCTGAACTCTGAACCCACCAGGAGCCAACAAAAACAGAAAGGGAGGAGAGAAGAATTTCATTAGGGCCTTCACGGAAGAGGCAGTTTCTAAAGAGACCAAATGCTGAGTTGTTTTGCTTCTGTTCATAAAAGAGCCCAGTGCCCAGAAAGAGCTACTGATGATTGGTGAGGTGCTGAGGTCGGCTTGCTGTTTTGGGGGTGCTTCATTTTTTTAAACCAGTAATTACCCAGATAGGAGAAGTTCAGATAACAATTGAGAGGCTCCCGTGTAGCACCTGCATTTTTTTCTGGAAGAGTTGTTTTTTGGAGCTTCCAGCATTTACTCCTGTGTGTGCAGCTTTTCATGGTGACAGCATTTCAATGCTGGTTGCTGTCTCTGGATGGTTTGCCTTGTTTGTTGGTTTTGTCACTTACAGAAATAATAAACGGTGCATTTGGGCTTGGTCCAGTCTCTTGTTTTTCTATCTGAAGAATTCTTAGTGGTGGTCACCATAAAGCTGAGTATGGGGGGCTTAAAATTGCTTCTGTGCTCTTGACTTCTTGTTAAACTCAGGAACAGAAACAGACCTGGATTTATGAGTAGCTCACCTATAACAGAGTCGCATCTATGATGGGTGGGGAAGAACAAATCGTCAGGAAATAGTTCAGGTTTAACATCCTGCCTAGTGCAGGGGGGCTGGACCTGATGATCTTGTGAGGTCCCTTCCAGCCCCTTACAATCTATGAATCCAGGCCTGGAAGTGAACAATGTCCTGGCTGACTCCCTTACCTCCCACCTCACCTCACCTTGTGGGATTACCCAAGGGAAATGATCTAGGGACCATAGACTTGAATAAGCCATGGGGAGTCCTTCACGACATTCCCCTCCAATCATTCTGCTTCAGCATTGCCAGGAGAGCAGAACCACTGGGTTTTCACAGACTTTGCTGCCCAAAAGAGACTTCTTTGGAGTGTGCCTTAGCTTTTTTTTTCCTTTTTTTTTTCATCCCTAGGGCAGAAAAAATAATAGACCCTGTAGATTTTCTGAAGGTCTTGCATGTAGTGGAGCTGTGCCAAGCCCCTCCTTCTCCAGCTGCCAATTCCTCACTCCATGGAAGACTCTTCAAAGGGTCTGGTGTCATGGCTGACATGTCACATGCATTGGTGACACGTAGGGGGTGCACACGGGTGCACATGTACCCCCTGAGATTGGCAGTGCACCCCCTGCGGAAAGGCACCACCAATACTTCAGGCAGTGCCTGCAGGCAGTCACCACTCACCCCCCCGCCCTACCGCTGACACCAGCAGGGGCATCTGTGGGCGGTCCATGATTGCTGCTGGCTGCTGCCAATGCTGGCAGCAGCCTCTGCGGGTGGTCGCCGACCACCAGTCAGCACTTGCCACGCCCCCACCCCACTGCTGACAGTGACGTGGCCGCCTATGGGAGCTCACCGCTTGATGCCACCATGCTCCCACCACCAACAGCGCCACCGCTACCTGCAGGAGCTTCCCGTGCCCCTTCAGCCACCAGGGGCACGTGGTGTTCATGGTCACGTGTCACAGAACAGGGAAAGATGGATCCAGAAAGGGAGCACCCTGTGTAGGGGCCATTTCACAGGTGGGAGAGGTATGGGGGGGCCACATGCCCCCCCCTGAGATTGGCGCCTGGATCAGCACCATTCAGGACAGAGAAGTATTTTGGCTACACAGGCCAGCAGTGTGTTGAGGGGGGAGAAAGCACTAAGCCACAGCACAGAAGTATAGGAGTGGATATGTGGCTTTTGGCCCGCTCCCAGACCTGCCCACAAATTGTGCCTCCCCACACTTAGGAGGCACCAGTCACCCCTGGGCCATTTTATGGCTGAACCTGATTTCAGCCTGCCCTAATGGTCCTCTGTGTCTCCTTAGGCAATGGAAGTCCTTATTGTAACATTGGTAGGTATTCACACATTAGCTAGCAGAGTGACAATGTAGTAGGCCAGACTTCTGTTTGTGCCAGCACTCAGATAATGTGTCCAGGGTCCTCAGTGGACTTGTATGCAGCCTACTGTATCACATCTTCACTACTATAGTCACTGGTGCTAGCTGGGTTAAAGGTACAGTTGGGTCTACCTGCTTACACTACCGTGCCTTTATTCTCTTGCTAAACACATCCCAGCATCCCCAGAGACACTCTACTATCCTAAAAATAAGCCTTTCCCCGCACTCCGTTTAAGAAGCTTTGCAGCCTCCTCCTGCTCCTTCAAGCTGTATAAATGTGTAACACTCCTTCCTGCCACATCCAGACCCTTCAGCACAAGGAACATGTGTTGAAGGTGCAACTTATGATACTGGCAGCTCAGTCTAGCAGCTGTTCTAATTGCAAAGTCTACAGAATCTTTTTTGTCACCATTTAAACTTGAAACATTTGAACACCATATATTTGACTTTGCACTGAAAGCTTACTCCTAAACTACCCAGACTCCTGCTGACCCCAGCCTGCTTTGGGTCAGGTCCCAAGCACTTTTACATTGCTGTGATTTTTTTTAATATGATTAACACAAATTCTGATGAAATTTAACAGCCAGGAAATATTCTTTAAAACACACAAGCATTATCTTGACAAGTATCTTTTTAAGCATTGCTGTCACCTGACTGTTTATTCTTGGAAAAAAGTAACTAATGCAAGTCTGACACTAATATTTGTTCCCCTTATTTTATCCCTTGACACAGAACAGCTCTGAATGTATAATTTCTCATGCACAGAAACACAGGTGTCCAACCATAAAAAGGTCCTACCTTGCAAAACACAGTGGGGGTGACTAGTGTACTGGTTTTGTCTTCATTCTTACCACCTCTAAGAGAACTATATGGAGCGACTCTTTGGCCTGCTGTGTACATTAGATTTCATGCAGGGTCTAAGTATATCAGTAGAGATACCAGTTGTCTCAACACACGTGAGTTAAGAGTCCTTTTAGTATCACAGAGGGTGGCTTCAACCTCTTCAGCACTTTGTCTGGACTGTCTCATGAAAAACCAGGAGTGCCTGTCTTTTATAATGTTCTGTTTTTAAAGTAAAAAGTCTCTGGGGGACAGAGGGTCCTAAAAGTCCAAGGCCTGGAATTCCTCCCTTCTCTCATTCCATTTTAAACAGGAAACATTTGCACTAAGCTATTCCAGGGGGAGAGTTGTAGGTTCATTTCAAGGCAGATAATGTTTGTTCATTGCCTATGTCTGTGATTTCCCCCATGGGCTTAAACAAGAAAGCCACATGTGTTTAACTTCATGCAAAACAATTGTCAGTGGGGTCTGGGAAGGGAGCACAGATCAAGATGCTAGAAGCACCCTGAGCAAATTGCTGTGTGAGCAAAAGAGAGGAGGTGTGCTGGACAAAGGGAAAGTCATTGACCAATTAGATAACTGCTGTGTTTAACTGTGAGGATGGGATTTTCAAATGGATAATTCACAAAAATGTATTTAAGCAGCTGACAAGATTGGTCTTGTGCACACAGAGCAGGTGGAATTGATTTACACTTTCAGACTTTCTTTTGGGTCGAAAGCCTGCACTGCTCCAGCTTGTTCTCAAGGAAAAACTCCCACCAACATCAATGGGAGGCTTTGCCTGAGAGAAGTGTAAGAACATTTGTGAGTGGTAAAAAAAAAAAAAAAAAAACCTCCTGACTGTGCTGAACTTTAGGGGAAGCTCCAGTGACTTATCTACGCAGAACAATTATTTTTGCCATTTAAAAGTATCACAAGTTAAACAGCACAAGGGAGAAATATCAATCCCCCATTAGTGTAAATCCTGGAACTAAGACACAGAAAGGTACAGAGATGACTCTGTAGCACATCCTCAGGGATTACATGTTCACATGTTGTTTTTTTCACATGTCCCAGCACTTGTCAAACCCTTACTGATGCAGACAAGTTACAGAGCTGTCTTAACATCAGGCTCTGCAGATCACAGGAGGGGTTTTGAAACCTCACTGGCAGCTAGCCCATTAAACACAGGTACTGCATCCTGACATCCCTGTTGTTACTTCCAGGAGTTCCAGGGTTTCCAACTATTGTGTTCTGAGAGCTTTATAGTCTGACATGCTGGAAGAAAACAATGGGGCAGGGCTGGGAGGTGTGAATTTTGTTGTGCGTTAGACTTCTGGGATTTGCACAGCTGTGGACCAACCTTATCTGTTTATCCTCAGGCTCAGATAAGATGGAGTCAAAAATACGTTGTTTAAAGGATCTTTGATTCTATTATGGCAAACATCATAGTTTAGGGAGGTGAAGAGCGCCAGGGCTCTCCATTTGGAAAAGGTCCGTGGGGGGTTCTGGTGTGCTAAAGATTTTGCAGCATGCAGGTGAGAGGTTGCTATTCTCTGGCAGTTCTGTTTTGACACAGGTGGGACTGTCACTTCTGGCATGGCAGCTCTTTTCCCAAGAAAACTACAGTGGTTTATTGTTGGCTTGGAATGCTGTTTGTTGATAGATGTATTTTCTTCCCCTCCAGGCGTGGACCCGCAGAATCAATGGAGTATTTAACAGGGCCACGAGTGATATACAAAGAGCGAGATCTTCCTTACTACCAAGGAGGGCAGCCCACTGTGCTCCTCTCTAAAGGCAACTACTCTCGTGCACAAGACATGAGGGTAGCGGAATTGCGGTACCCCCAGTACTACCAACCCCAACCACTAACCACCCAGCACAAAGGACCCCTCCGCCAAGATGTCCCACCTTCACCTCCTCAGTCGCACCGAGCACCAGCATATAATGAAATGGGCAGAGCGAGACACCGTGGGACCAGCCCAGATCTATACCAATACAGACCTCAAGACCCCAGGCAGAAGAATCCCATGACTGCAGCTGTATAGCCTCGAGCTGGACTTCATCAGTGGGGCTAGGAAGGAGGGTGCCTGACATCACCTTTTCCACAGTTGATCGCAGCATGTTTAATTGTTGGTAAGGGTGATGTCTTCCCTGGAGTCATTCTTACTGAGCCAAGCTCCTCAAAGTTTTCTTTTAATGGGGAAACATGACTTTGTCAAGGCTAACATGAGGTACTGCATCTTTTAAGTCTGAAGTACCAGACATTCAAATATGTTCAATACCAGTTAAAAATAAAAAGTGACAGCTGAAAATTAAGTGTACCATTTAGCGCAGCTCAGGGCTCTACCACATCCAGTTACATGCACGCACAGCATTCCCTCTGGATAAGACTGGTAGTGTCACAAGAGTCCAATGTGGAGTGACCCCACAGGCCTATTATATTACGGTAGCCTTCTAGTGACAGTACACATATATGCTGCACAATGCTTCCTTCCTCAGAGGATCTTCTCTGGAGCTGGGAATCTTGTGTAGTCTGATGCTGTGTGCATCACTGAGTTTACAGATGTCTTGTACCAGGTTAGGAGCCACATTCCAGGCACATTCAAACCAGCAGTTTTATATTTTGAGAATGCCACAGATGCAGATTTTTAATCTTGCCTTTGTCTTCCTCTTTCTACTCATTTGTTGAAGCATTCATCTTGTAGCCTTCCTGTTTGACAGTTACGTATCAAGATCCTCTTTTTTTCTTATTGCGAGCAGCACAATTGGACTAAAACTAACTTCATCAACTTCACTTGCACACTGTAGAGGGTTTGGACAGAAAAATCCCAAAAGACAATGATAAAGGACTCGGGAACTAAGTGAATAACATGTGAGACTGTGTGCATGTGTGTTTGTTAGTCACATAGGCTGCTTACAGATGTGGGAAAACAAATAGTGCTTTACTTTCAGCTCGGTACATGCTTCAGCAGGGCTTTTTGATGATTTCATCTAATAGCTGAATAGTTGAATCAGTTTTAGACAAAAGCGCTAAAAAGCCCCAACTGAAGTACCAAATCTATACGGATGCTGGGGAGCCAGGTTGAACTAATGCAGTGCCTCTTCTGGTACAGCACTGTGGTTTTTTAGTTTTTTGGTTTTGGGGGAGGGGGGGTTGTGGGGGGGATTCACATCTGTCAGCACCCATAGTGCATAGTTCTTAAATGTAAAGTTGGGGGGCCAGATTCTCAGCAGCTGTCAATGAGCTGAAATTCCTTGACTCCTTGGGAGCTAAACCAATTTGCACCTGCTGAAGATCTAGCCTTCAGTGTAACATACCTGAATTCAGATGTGAGTTGCTACTCCATCAGTTTCTTTGATGGATGAGGGTGGGCAGAGACAGGTTCTTGCCCTACTCTGCCTAGCTTTGTATCAAGGTAACTTCTGCAATATCAGTTAAGGTACTGTGAGCCCGCTCGCTGTGTAAGCCTATATTCTAGTCTGTTGCCGTTGTTTTGCAGAGCCTCTGTCATGTGAACTGTCACCTGTTAATGCAGGGCCTGCTGTCTGTCATTGAAAGGAAGCTCAGCAACCAGCAGTGCCTGTTCAGTGCTAAGTGCCAAACAACACAGTTCCCCTCAGCAGGGATCTACAGGGCAACGGGAGGTACTTTTAGCCTTCCTGTTTGGCAGTTAGGTATCAAGATCCTCCTTTTAAAAAAGTGACGATGAAGAGAATGAGAAGACCAGAGCTTGCTCAAAAACAGGTGGTGGCCAAGAGAAACAGAATAAAGGGAGAGTTGTTTTAAACAATGACATCATTTCAAGGCAGCAAGGCAAGAAGAGGAGAGCTGAGGGAGGAAGCAGGGAAGACAAGGGGAAGGTGCACTGGGTGCAAGCAGAGAAAGGGTACAAGAGAGAGCCTGTGGCCTTCCATCATCTGGGCACCAGTGTTGGCTCAGTGCTGGTTGGCAGCGTGCAGGGCCAGGAGGTGGTGGTGACTGCTCTGCTCCATGGTCATTTGCTACCTTGTCTAAAAGTACTTCAGAGACTTGGAAGCTGATCTCCATGATTTATCATGCCAAGAACGTCTTGGGTAACCATGGGCACCAATAACCTAGCAGCACATCCCGCATTAGCTCTGAGCCTCCTCAGTACCTTAAACTGCCTTTAGAAGGATTGTAAGGTAGTTAAGGCCCCTCTTTTTTGAGGGGAGAAACCTTGGACCTGGCCAGAGATTTAATTACAAGAGTTCTTTGTTGCCTTTTGGCACCCTCAGGTCTGCTGCAAACTGTATCACGCAGGTCACCTCCCAATTATATAGCACATGAAAATTTCATCCTCCTGATGGGAGCCCTTTTTAGTAAATATCCCTGGGAAAGTGCTTCATTAGAGGAGATCTGCAGAGACCAGTCCATGGCGAATAGCCTAATAGCACTAAAAGGGATCAGAGTTTAATCCTAACTAATGTATTCGTCCCTCACTACAGACTGGTGAGAGATTGACAACACCCTCGAAGTCTGGGAGTGTTTCCATCTGGATCCCAATAACCAACTGAGATGGGTTTGTTTAACAGTGTTTGATCTGAGCCATACTGCCTATTGATCGGGATGTCAGGCCTTGGGGCTTTGGTTCATACACATCTCTGTCTGCCAGACAGAGTAGGGAGACAGCACGAGGGAGACGGCCTCTAGTATTATCTAGTATTACACAGTCCACATCTAATGTAGGATTCCTCTTTCTTTTTCTTGGATAGGGGAAGGATGGAGGGACAGTACTGCTTCCTGTCAGATTTGAGAAACTAAAAGGGAGAAAATGCAACTGATTATGAAGCAAATATGTTAAAACATCCATTCCTACCCTTCTTCCTGTTGCTTGTGCCCTGTGTCTTAGCAGCATGCCTAGAAAGGGTCCTTCTTCAGTAAGAGGGGAGGGAAGAACTACTGGGAGGAAATATGGGTTTGCATATCAGGCTGGACACCTCATGGAGGTTGAGATGTGGCCCATGCACAAATACGAGGCATTCTCTGTCCACAAGTAAACACGCTGTGTTGTGCATGGGCACATGCTATGTACAGCATTGTTCTTCTCCAAAAGAGCTGTATAAACTCTGGTATTCTCAATCCATAAAGATCTGGCAGCCACAGGGTGGCTACTAGTGGCATGAAGGACCACTTGAAGTGAAGGAAAAACAAATTTAAATGCTTTCCTTTCCCTTTTTTTTAAATATAACCCCAGATGCATTTGATCCAAGTGTAAAGAAACTAATATGTTTGTGACAGTGGCTTTATCAAGCCAGGCCACAATTAAGAACAGCTCTGAATATAAGCTACCGCTTTATAAATCACTACCTACTAACTCTTCAAATACCACCGCAGCACAGCATATAGACCTCATTTACAGTATTTCAGAAGCCAGGGCCAAATAAAATCTGGATGGAAACAGCGTCTGGGTTATTTATGGCCTTTGAAGGGCTTGCTCAATTGTCTCTGTGTAACCTGAAACCCTTCTAACAGCTCCCCTTGACTGCAATGGCACCACTTGGTTAAAGCAGACAGATCAAACAGAACACCTTCCCAGTAGTTAATCTTACCCAAAAGGCTATTAAATGATGTTTCTGCCTCATGGAGACTTTCTTCCTTGTTCTAAGAAAAGGAGATAGGACTGTAATATATGGACACATTGCATGCCACTGGGAGCGATGAGGGAAGAACGTTCTGACCTAGCTGGGGACAGGAGCAAAAGGTATTAAAGCACATCTCATTAATCTGCAATGCTATCGTTCTGGAGGGAAACTGCAGTGCACTGGTTTCACATCTTGCAGAGGTACGATATCTCCAAAGTATAGCGTATAGCTAAAGCATATATAGTCTGCTTCTCTGCAATGTAAAATGTATGATTTTAGCACCATATTGTGGAAAAATATGTACCGTGTAGATTTCACAAGGTGCTACAACTGACGGTTGAAAATATACACTTGCAAAATCCAAAAGAGCCGTTAAGTAACAAGTTGCTCTTTTCCCCATATGTCCATATGTTTGGAAAAACTACAAGTCTGAAATGCTCTTGACATGTAATTGCCTCACGCTCCTTTGTCTGAAATGTGCCAATCCAGCAAAAACATTCCTGACGTGAGCTGGGCTTGCAGGGATAGTTTGGGTTTGCTGCAGGCACAGAATGCAACACATTTGCACAACAGTGTAACTCAAAAGTAAACAGGAAAAAGCCACTCACATACAAGGTGGGATGCTTTGATTTCCCAACTATGCTGATGGAGGACAGTCTGGGTTTCTGCTCCTGGTGAAGGAGCAACTGGACTGTGCAGCTGAAAGATTTAGAGATACACATAGAAGCTGATGATTTTCTGAATGACCGAGCACTAGTGATCCACTGATACTGGCCTGCAAGGAAATATTACCACTATGATGTATTATTGTGAGGGTTCTCCATGGGCATTGCAAAGATGCCTTTCTGAAAAAGGGAAGGAACCAAGAGTAAAAACCACCCTTCTTCAGCCCTAACCTCAAATTCACTCTACTTTCCTGAACCAGAACAAGCATCACAATGCTGCCTAATTTCTATAGAGTGAAAGTGCTACCTCTGCATCTTCTTCAAAGATTTGGTTTTTCACAGAGTCAGCATTCGGAGGGAATTCCAGCTGATTATTATTCTTGGGCCTCATCTTGAGGCTTCCCCTGCAGTTCAGGGTGCTTATTTACCTTCCAGGATAAGGCCCCCAGCTTGCACCCGTGATTGCAGATGTTTGCAAGAAAATTCTGACTTTATGTGCAGGGTCTGTAAGTTTACTATCATCAGATAAAACAGAATGGTCTATTTGTAAGTCACTTTTCTATTATATCATGCGGGGAGGGGGGGAGTTTATAATATCTGACTATACTCATGTGTATTGAATAATAAAAATAATTGCAAAATCATGCTTGTCTGTCTTGGGGGAGAAATTCAACACACAATGAGATTTTTTTTGGTACCACATAAAGATTTTGAATTTTGTTGTTGTTGTTATATATGGCTATATAAATTTTACCTGTTTTATTTTGCATTAAAATAAAAGCTTTACGACTATAAGCAATCCCACATGCTGATTTTTTTCAGCAGCTTTCATCTGCAAATTCATCATTTCTGTGTTGTGATCTTGTTAGATTATCATTGTTGCGCCTGTTCAGAATTTGTGGAAGAACTTCAGTGAAAACCCAGCAAACTGTAGGACCTGTTGATAGTGCTTCGTAACACTTAACTCCTATTTTGTCTTGAGTCTGCACTGAAGCAGCATTCACAGTATTATGTTTTGTGGATGTTCTGGTGCTTTCCAAATGAGCATTGAAGCTAGCCCACTGGTACACTGACTGAACTTCTGTTGGGTTGATTTTATTTTGCCCCTCTAAATTCAGCACCAAATTTTATTTGTATTCACTGTTTTCATGGTCCCATTCTCAGTTGAGGCATAGCATTGCCATGTACTATGTAACAGCATTCTACCTGGCTGAGTTTCTTTCAAAGTGATGACTAAGAGGCTTGCTTTCCATAGGCTCCTTGCACATCTTGCTTAGGTTGAGGTACACGAGTCCTTCCATTGAAGGCTACAACCTTATTAACATGCTGAGAATTTTGTACAAGCCTGAATCTTTGCAGGATTGGGAGCACTTTTTGTAGTATGTGTGTGTGTGTGTAGGGATTCAGGCAACCATGTTATATGTATATTCAAAATAGAATATAAAAATGTTTAACATTTAGGAGAAAAATCACTAGAATGGAACGAGTAAAGAGGTGAGACTTTGATGACTAATTTTCTGTTTTTCGTCAAGGAATCAGAAGAAATGAAGTGGGGTGGAGGGTGG